CTTAACTAGAGGAAGTAGGTCACTGGGGGCATGCCCTAGAAATATGTGCCTTGTCCCCTGTACCTTCTTCTTGCTCCCTGCTTCCTGGTGGCCATGAACTGAGATACTTTGCGTCACCACGTTCCCAGCCATAAGGCACCAGAAACAATGCCCAGAAACAATGGTGCCAGCTAACCATGGTTTAGAAGACAGGGACTGAGATATCTTGATACCATGGTTTGAAACCTCTGAAACTGAGCCAAAATAAATCTTTCCTCCTTGAAATTTTCTCTCAGGTGTTTGCTCACAGTGCTAAAAACCTGACAATGTGGTTCTGAGCTTCCAGGCAGCCAGAGTATGAAGGGAGAAATTTATATTGTTCCTGCTGTCAGAAAGGATTAAACAAATTAATTTTTAGGAGAAACTAAGCTTCTCCTCACACTTGTTTGCAAGAAATTTCTCCCGTAGGTTTCACATTGAGAATGACATTAGTTATTACTGTTCTTTGCATGTAACAAGAGAAAAATTCTGCTCTTTTCTAAGTTCTAAAAGGACAAGGGCCATCTGTTTCATGGCACCAGGCACTGAAGTAGGGACTCAAACATTTGTGGAAATGACAGAATTCTGAGATTCAGTGACACAGACAGCCATTCCTCTTGCTAGGTGGTACAGTCTTGTTCATGATACTAGAAAGTTGACTGACCTTGGGTCTACAGAAGCACCAGGGCTGCCCACCCATGCTGGTAAAAAATGGATGGTGAGTTCTTATATGAGCTTTCGGTCTGGTAGCACTTTGTAGCTTTTTATCAGCCTATAGCTGAGCCAGTTGCCATTCAACAGGTCTGCCAAACAACAGTTAGACTAGCAAGGCCTTCCTAGAAAGGGTATCTCAGAGAAGAGCCAATGACGATGATCATGCCAAGGAAGGAACGGGAAAACAGGGGCCAATAACAGACTGAAGGAAAAGGCAATTGCAGACCTAGTGATAAAGCAAGTGACAAATCCAGTAACAGACTGTGAAGAAAAAGGGACTTCAGATGTAGTGATAAAGTCAGTAATAGACTGAAGGACAAGGTGACTTCAGACCTAGTGCTAAAGCAAGTGGCAGGGGGAAGAGACTGAATGATGGTAGTGGATGGTGAGGGACAGTTGGTGATGTGTATGAACTGGAGAAGTGTAATGTCCAAAATATAAAAATTAATTGGGATGTAAGCAGCCACTGGCCCTCAGGGTTTCTTAGAGAAAACAACCTGTGAGTGTGAAGGAAGAGTGAATGGAGGAACAGGAGGTCTTCTGTGACTTCTGTCCTTCACCTTGAAGAACAGGCCTAAGTAGAACCCTACAGGGACAAAACTGTGAGAACAGCAAACTCCCAGGGTGGTGGATCATAGGACAAATTGTCAAAGATTCAGGTCAATTTTCACACCAGGCTCTTATAGACAGCAAGGGCTATCCTCTTGTTCACACATCCAACACACTTGGATCAACAGACCAGGACCCTGCCACCAGAGATGCCTCTTGCTTTCCCTCCCTCCTCTCCCCCACCCACCACTGACCTGCCTTCCTTGCCTTTAGCTTCTGGTGCTCCAGCCACTGGCCTGCTGAACGCCATGTGTCTTCACCTTTCTCTTTTTTTTCAATGGTACTTCATGAATAGCTGTCCAAAAGTTCCCAGAACCCTGTCCTTCTGGCTTTCACAGAGATTTCATTGCATAGTCATGACTGAAGAGTGGACAACTATGCAGTATGATTGGATGGAAAGGGAATGATCCAATGGTGGCAGTCTGAATGGTGTCACCCAACAAGGCCTAAATCTACAGATTCTTCTTGTCTTCTCTACACAGCATTACTCCCTTCCCCCTTTCAGAAATGGGTTTTTTTCTCATCCACTATCACAGAGGGAAATCAGAGAACTGGTTATGACCAACTTCAAGACGAACAGGCTGTGGAAAAGAAATTCTAATTTCTGCCTGTCTGGGGGAGAAAAAGGAGCAAGTGAATTCAGGGCAGAAGGTCAAAGAGAAATTTTGCTTTTGAGGGCTAAAGCGCCCCAAGACTGCGATCTTTCACCTTTTTACTCTGAAACTGTCCTGCAGATGCTTCAGGAGCAAGAACAAAAGGCCAAACACTTTAACCTTTTCAGAGATCTCAGTCCATTATGGCAGAAGGGTGTGGCAGAGCAGAGCAGTTCATATGACAGCCAGGAAGCAGAAGGTGGGGGAGGGATGCCTGCAATAGCTTTTTCATTTTTCCCCATTTATTCCTTCCATTCTGTTTTGTTATACACACACACACACACACGCACATGTTGGTTTAGTGGTTCAAGTGGTAGTGTCTACCTAGCAAGCAAAAGGCCCTGAGAGGAAGCCCCAGTACCACTAAAAAAATTTAAAATTCTATAGATACTATCTTAGCCCTGCTGCTTCCTTGCTCAAATCCTTCCTAGTACAGAATAATATTCAAATATTCCTATCTGTCAATGTGGACTTGAGGACGTTCCCTATACGAAGGCACGTGCACCCCGCCTTCTGCTTCTGTGTCTAGAAGGCTAAACTCAGATTGCAGGAGGGGAAACCCCAGGAAGTGCTAGTGCCTGACACGCCCATAGTGATGTTGAGAACTAGTGCCCCAAACCACTTATGTGGTATGCTGCCATGGTTCCTCCTAGGGTACTGGTGGGAAGTCTTCCTGCCCACCATTCTAGCCATACTGGGCTGACATGAAGACCAGTGCTGGAGCCCAAGGTAGCCACCTGTGTATGTTAGAGTTTTCATCACTGAAACAAAATCCATGAGGTCATAACTTAGGGTAGGAAGAATTTATTTTGCTCATTGTTCAGCGGTTTCAGTCTATCATGACAATGTGGATGCACAGCACAGCACAGTGGTAGCCAGGAAGGAGGTGGGGGAAGACAGGGAGAGGGAGAGGAGAGAAGGAGGGGGCGGGGGAGAGAGGGGGAGAGAGAGAGAGAGAGAGAAAGAGAGACAGACTTTTTCCCCCCTCTTATTCCATCCTGGTCCCCAGCCTATGGGATGGCATCACCACATTCAGGGCAGGTCTTCCTCCCTTAGCTAATCCTCTCTAGAAACATCCTCAAAGACACACCCTGAGATGAGTTTCTCAATCCCACAACAATGAATCAAGATTAACTCTGGTTGCGTATCTTTGGGCTGAACCACCCCTTAGAATGTTTGGCTTGAAACTGTCCAACAGGAAAGCTCTGAGTTTGATGGCAGCCAGCAAACTCATGCATCTCTCTTGACTGGGGACGTTTAGGATGTAAAGAGAGGCAGGTGAAGTCTCAAGTTCCAGGGAACAAATAGGATGGGGGTTCAGTTCTTCATGAGGCTGTACTTTCCAGCATTAGCAAATGCCGTATTTCTGGATATCTGTGAGTACATTCCAACCAAAGCAAATACGGGCATGCGCTTTTCTTATAGTCCTCAACTGCTTACTTCAAGTACCTTTCCCATTGATTTCTGAGATATGTGCACAAAGTTATTGGTGGGAGCAGTTTGAAATAGCAAAATAAAAAATGTGTTCATTAGAACGGGCTGGTTAAATTTTGTCAGACGTATCTCAATTTTAGAGAGGGTAACAATATTCGTGTCATGTGAAAAAATGTGCATCTTAAATTTGAGAACTAAGGTATGATATATTCACACAGTGGAATGTGAATTTGCAGTTAAGACTGGTAAATGGCTTAGGAAGGGGCTATGGGGGACATGTGCTTAAGAACAGGGAGAGGGGAGAGCAAAACAGTAATTCTACACTTCAGACTATACCTCAAGGTGCCACGAATGGAGGTAGGTGTCCGAACACCTGTAACAATCTAAGCTCAAAAGGAAGCTTAAACTAGGTGGTGGATATACAGCTATATTTTGTAGTATTTTTAAACCTTTTTTGTATATGTCATAGTAATAATATAGTAGTAAATACAGTAATAAATTTTTCTTAAGTGGGCCTAGCAACCTATTTTACTGCCCCTGTTCTTTGGAAGAACCTGTGTTCAAGTGATAGCTTAAAGATCAATCTTTTAAGCAAGACTTGATGAAAATTTTCACTGTCTCTTATCTCTACATGTTATTATGAAAGAAGGAATTTCATCATTCCAGCAACATTTGGTATTGGCACATACATAAGTATTTTCTTATTATTTCTCAATACTATGAAATCTGGCTTTACGTTAGTTAAAGGTTTCTCTGGATTTAACGTAGTTGATATTACAAAGAAAAGTATTTTGGCATAGACTTTTTTAAAAGAGAGTGTGTGTAGGGGCATTTCAATAGAACAAGCCTGGTTCGCTGTTTATAAAGTGGAATTTTTATTTTTGCCTGCAACTGCAATAGTTTTTATTGGTGTGTGTGTTTAGGTCAACCGTCCTACTTATATGCTGATGAAAAGGGTGGAGTGAATTTAGGACAAGTTTCCTAAGGCCTGGAGTCAAACAGTTCAAGTTTTGGAGTCAGACTAACTCAAAATCATGCCAGCGGTGTGGCACTGGAACGTCACCTAACTCCATGAAATGGGGACAAGAATAAGTAGTTTATGGGATGTTGTAAAGATGGGAAATTTTAAGCACAGCTCGGTGCCTGGTACATAGTAGGCACAAATCGATGGTCATTACTACTGAGGCAGAGAGCTTTGTTTTGGTGCAGGCCTGGACTTGGCGCTTCCAAAAGCTCCTAATTTTTTTTTTTTTCAATTCAACATTCAAGTAAAGGCACAAAGATGACGAGGCCTCTTGGCAGCTCACATTCAAACTAACAGAACACGTCCAGAAATTCCTCTAGTAATTTTGTTGGGGGTTTTAAATTTGATAGAGGAATTAGCCGCACCTGGGAAGCGGCGCTGTTTGGACTGGGGGTAGTGTAGCCTCTCGCCAAAGGCCACGTGCGCCAAGGCCTCCAGGGACCTCCGGGTCCCCGCAGACTTCCCGCCGCAGGACCTCCTCGCCTCCGTCCCGTCCAGGAAACCAGCCGGAAGGGAGGCCGCGACCGGAGGCAGGCAGCGGCACTTACCAGCACGAAGTGCACCAGGGCGTCGTAGCAGAGCCAGGCGAGCACCCCGCGGTCCGCCACCCGGCGCCCGCGGCCCAGGCGCAGGCCCAGCGCGCAGCCCGCCACCAGCAGCGCGGCGCACAGCAGCAGCGAACGGCCGGCCGCGGCCTCCAGCTCCCAGCCCGCGCCCATGCCGCCGGCTCGGCTTCCACGATGACTGCCAGCCACCCCGCCGGCCGCGCAGAGAGGAGGCGGGGCTAGCGGGGCGCCCGGGCTGGGCGACCTGAATGGGCGTGGCCTCGTGCGAGCGTGACCTCAGCGGGATTCCATGAGCTAGGCTGGCGCGAGCCGTAGGGATTCCCCTCCGTCTTGTCTACTGGCTACTCTGCAGAACCCAGAGGTTTTGCTCATTCCTGCGATGCAGGTTCCGGGAATCCGGGTCATGCCTACAAACTCGTTTAACCACTTCCACCAACCCTATTCCAAGACCAAACACAGAGACTAGAAATAAGGGCCACACATTTTGTACACTTAAAAATGAAATGGTTGAAGGGATATTTTATGTGTATTTTACCTCAATTAAAAAAAGTGCTTGGGCTGGTGGAGTGGCTGAAGTGGTAAGAGCGCCTCCCTAGCAAGGGTGAGACCCTGAGCTCAAATCCTAATACCACCAAAAAAAAAAAAAAAAAAAAAGTGCTGGCACAAGTTCAAAAACTTCCCCCCTAGTCACTATACCATTCTTTATGTAGCAGGTAACGTCTAACGAAGTTACCGTTTGTTCACACACGTTGCTAGTCTCTTGCCACTAGAGCATAAGCTCCACAGGACCAGGGGTTGTGACTGGCTTGTTTTACTGCCTTATCCCACGCACCTATTACAGACTTCGGCATATCCTCGTTGTCCAGTTAAGTAACTGTGACTGAAGGCGTATGGCCAACCCTGCCGCCTACGCTCTGGATTCTCCCCTGTAACTTAGGAAATTGATACTCTTCCTTTGTATATTCAGCGTATTTCTCAACTGCATCTCCCCCACAATTTTTTTCACATCATCCTTTAGCAACCACTTTGTCTTCCTCTCCTTCAGGGTAAAATAGAAAATAGAAAAGGAATTAAAAAAAAAAAAAAAAGCAACAAACCCAATCAGATTCAGTCTTCATATTCTGTCCCTGCTCCTTACTCCTTTCTACTTTTTCTTTTTCTGACAGTTCTGGGGGTTGAACTCAGGGTCTCATGCTTGTTAGCCAGTGGTTCTACCACTTAAGGCATGTTCTCAGTCCTTTATTCCAGTTTCTGTCTTCATTACCACAATGACAAAGCTCTTAAGGGGAGTGGTGGCCTCCATTATCACTAAACCCGAAGTACAGTTACCTTGCTTGACTGCTTAGCAGCACCACTGGGCAATGACACCTCTTTACCTTTTGGTTTACTTCCTATGTCCCTGGTCATTCCTTGTTTCCATTGCAAGCTCATCCTACCACATTCCTATTGAATGTTGGAACTTCACAACAGTCTTAAGTCCTATTCTCACTCCAAATATACATCGGGCACTGCCCATTGAACTAGGCAGAGGCCTCAAATCTCTACCCGTCTTTTCCTCCAAGCTCCAGACTGATCAGTATTTCCAGCTGCCATATAGGCATTCGTATGTCTCAGTGCAAAGTTCACCACCTTCCTCCTTCACATCTGATTCTCTTCCCTGTCTTATGATGCTCCTACTCAGTGGCTTGCAATAGACACCTATGGAATCATCCTTGATATGTCTGTATTTAAGACATCACCAACCCCTATCTTAGTGGCCAAGCATCTCTTGATCTGTGCTTATCAAGGACCAAGCTGCTGATCTTTTGCCTTGGTGTTTTCACACTAATGTGACCAGTGACAGCAACTTCTATGTCACTAAACTCAAAGTACATTTCCTGTCCTTCCTGTACCAACCAGTGATCTTCTTAAACATACATCTATTATCCCTCTTGATTGAGAATGCCAAAATCCTTTACATGACTTACTAGGTTGGGGAGTCTGGCACCTCATCACCTTCCTAACTAGGTCAATTCCCTTTATTATTTGTATCATTACATACCATTTTTCCCCTAACATTTGTTAGACCTTTTACCTTCTAGTCCTGTGATTTTTTTAAAGTATCCTGTGCCCAGGGTGCTGAACAAGTATCTGAATGCTTCTAAGTGCTTAGTCAAAATTCTGAAGACAAGGGTACATGTGGACATGATCTTATTATGAGGAAAACCGGGCTGCACTAAGTAGTAGGAAATTTATCAATTTCTGTATTTAGAACTGAAAAGGGTAGATGCCTAAGACCTGGTTAAAGACTGCTGAGGCTATTACTTGATCACAAACTATGATGAACTGGTAAAATGATTGCAAGACTTCCCCCACTCTACTAGAATTACATATCCAGATGATGGAACATTCCCATTACACTGTGCTCAGAAACTAGTCACACCATACCCATTATTTTGGGGGGCCATGAAATGCATAAGCAGACAGGAACTAGGTTCAGTAATGCCTTCCAGGAGGGAGGAAATGCATGGGGTGTTCTGGCTGCAGAAGGAGCTCATAAGAATAGATCAGTCTCTTCTGTTAGCTAGAAAAACTAAAAATTTAGACTCAATAAAAATAACTTAGGATGACGGACATTTAAGAGAAGTAACTTTTGTTCAGGAGTAAAAAACAATTTTATGCAACTACTGTTATACCAACAAGGTAGAACAAAATCCCTTCGAGTGTCTCATTTATTTCTTAGCTTTTCTGGCTCTTGTTCCATAAAACCTCAAAAACTGTATTTTATCTCTAAAAACATTATGTAAAAAGTGTACTTTATTCTGTAACACTTAGTCTTGTATAACCATAAAACTGTTCTACTTACCATTCAGTAAACTGCTGTCCCATGAAGGTGTTCCTCATTTATCTTATAGCTTCACACATTTACTTGGCATAAAGCCCCATGTACCTTTGAGTTACCACAATTTAAGAAGAGGAAGTAGATGGCAATTTTTTAGGGTGAAGAAGGCGACACTTCCTATATAGTATGTCTCAGCCACAGTTCGTTTGGTTGGTTTTGTTCTTGTTGTTGTGCTGGGGGAAGGGCCTCCTGCACAGATAAACCCTCTACCACAGAGTTCTAACCATTCTCCCGGCTCAGTTCCCCTGCTTTTATTTAGTAAACTTGCAAATTTTGGGGGAGGCCAATCTCTCAAATGCCTCAAGAAGTGATTTTCAAACTATGCTATGATTTCCTAGTCCAACACCAGCTTTCCCCATAGAACCTAGATCTTCAACTAAAAATGTTTGAGAAACACTGCTATGGGGGCAGTGTTGAGAAGATCAGGCAATCAACACATGAATGTTTGATACAACACTTTTTTAGCCACAGGGTAAACTTCAGAGAGCAGCTAGTTACTCTCTATTCCTGTTTCTATCTAAAGTCCTTTGCAATAGAGGGAACATACCATCTATGGTTCCCACAGATGGGGTGATTTGGGAAATAAGGCTAGGTAAGTAGACAGCTCAGTTTTTCTGAAACTCAGAATGAAGACAAGACACATTTTTGTCTCTTTTTATCTTATGCATTTGAGGAAAGCCTGGTATTGTTCACACAGGTCATGATTTAGGATGCCTCATTTGAGTGGCATTGTCTACAGAATTGATCTTGGCCAATGTTTCACAACCAGGAAGGTTTTGTCGACCAGGGACATTTGTTGATTGGGGAAAGGAGGATGAAGTGCTACTAATATCCAGTGAGTAAAGCCCAAGGATGCCGTGAATCATCCTACAGTGCACAGGACAAACACCACACAAGAATTATCCAGACTAAATCGTTCAGGGTTTGAAAAACTCCAAAATTAGTTGAGGGATTTCTAGGGCAAATAAATTGTGGGAACAGATTGTATTCCCATATCCATTTTCTCTACTTTCTCTTGATACTATGTATAAAAAATACTTTCTGAGAACCATTCTATCACTATTTTTCAGTGATCTAATCAAGTACAGCACTTACACGAAGAGTTCCTTTTAAGCTTTGCACAAATGAATGGTGGGTACATGGAATACTCTGGATCGTATACCTTAAGATTCACAGCTAAATGTACAGAAATTACATTCCCTTTTCCCAGACAGATTTAACTAAAATTCTCCAGGGTTCAACTAGGGATAAAAACCTAACTACCACTGTAGTGGAGAACCAATGGCAAACATCTATAATCCTAGCTACTTGAGAGGCTTAGATAGGGAGGAACATGGTTTGAGGCCAGACTGGGCAAATAGTAAGACCCCATCTCCAAAATAATCAAAGCAAAATGGACTAGAGATGTAGCTTAAGTGGTAGAGCACCTGCTTGGCAAGCATGAATCCCTGAGTTCAAACCCCAATCTCATAAAACAAAGAAACAAAAACCTAACCATCACTGTAAGACAACAGGCATTCTATGAATGCCAGTTACTCTTGTTTACCTGCAATAACTAAATAATCCCCTGAAAAGGATGCCCCTTCTGAAGGAAATGATGGCAAGAGTATATGAGTACTACTCCATTTATTTACTTACACACTGACTTCTTTCAAAAATAATTTGAAGTGGCATTATACAAAAGTAAAAATATTCCTATACTCTAAAGTTGGGCTGCTCCTTTGTTCTTTTAATTAATCCAAGATTTCATTTTGAGCCATAACCTCTACCTAACAGTTTGAAACTTTCAGGGTTTTCTTCCATTACTATTTTCTATGTTACATGATACATGTTTTAAAGGGTTAGGCAGGCCTTAAAGTTTGATTGGTTTGGTTAATGAAAATCATAATCATAGCATCTTATCAAATAAATAGTTTTTTCTAAGTTACAGTGTTTAAATCTGAGATACATAAGGAGAGGGCCATCTAATGACAGAGGCAGAGAATGGAGCGATACAGCTTCAAGCCAAAGAACACCAAGGATTGCCAGTCACTATCAGAAGCTAAGAAGAGGCAAGGAAGATCCCAGGCTCAGAGTGAACTTGATCCAGACATCACCTTGAATTCAGACTTCTAGACACCAGGACTATATATAAGTTCTGTTGTTTGAAGTCACCTCATTTATGGTACTTTGTTACCACAGCTTAGGAAATTAATATAGATGTTATGCTTCTTACTTGTCACAAAGTACTCTCTAGCATAGATTTTGGCCATCCTTTTTTGTTATAGTGATAAAGACACAATCAAAATACAATGACAGAATAATTCATGATTCACCACCATTGTGGCTATTTGAAAATTAATTTCAAATGTAAATTTAACCATACAGAACACAAAATAAACAATGAAGTTATTTTCAGAAATAAGTCTTTCAATGTTTTATCATATTTGATAGCAGCTTTTTTTATTGGTTACAAAACCTAAGCCCATATACAAAATTAGGAACACATTTAGATGCCTCTTTTGAAAGAACGTTTTAGTCTTTTTTAACTGAGTTTAAAAAAAATAAAAACAATGCAATTTTAAAACACTGTTTTGAAACTTAAAAGTGCAGCAA